TGCGTCCCCACTGTGCCTGAAAGGCAATATGAGATTCGGCAGCAGTGAGATGTTGCATGTCTGCGTTGCATCACACTGCTGCCAGAAAAACAATAATACAGTTTTCATGAGCTGAGCACATTGCTTGATCGTCTTTCTTTTAGGTTTGGCCGAAGTCTTCCTCTGCTCCTCTGTCCGGCGCCTCCTCTCCTTCCCAAGGATAAATGTGAGTTGGGTCTATAATTGAATACCATCCTGATAGAAATTCTTTGAAGTGGAGATGGTTTTCTGCACTCATTAGCTAAGGGAAATCGCTCTCTGTCAAAATATAGAGACTGGATTCCCGAAGCAGTTTGGCTCTCAGTGCCTCATAGGTAGTACAGGCTGCGACTATGTGCTCGGCAATCTCTGGTACTCCGCAACTGGGACAGAAGGAGTCGGTGTTCTTTCCAATTTAAAGAGTTTTGCTGGGAAGCCTCCGTGTCCAATGAGTAGTTGGGAGATCCAGTAATCAGGTTCTACCCATTTTGCTGCTAACCTAGAACTGATCGTTGAAAAATATTTCCTCAAAGTACTTCTTTTAGAAGTTTTTACCCTTCGTCGGTTCCATTTGTCAAGGGTGTACTCCCGTATTACCTTTACCTGCCGATCTCTTAACATCTGATAGTTTGAAGTTAATATCTTTTGTATTTTTTTAACAATTTCTAACAAGTGGCGAACACCCCTGAAGATCAGCGAGCTCCCCCAATAGGCGCCCCGCGGCTATTGCCCCGGTTGCCCCACCCTAAGGCCGGCACTGCTTATAAATATATATTTATTCATCACTGAATCATAGCTGTTCACCACTTTTTTATTCATTCATGATATTCTCTAAATGATTTAGCTGTTTATTATTATCACCTGTTTATCTATTGTTTAGATTCAAATGTGTGGTAATATCCTGCTTTGATAGTTTCATATTCATTAGCTCTTTATATATAATTATCTATCATCTATTATTACCTTATTATCCATAGTCTATTATTTGTCTTTTTTAAGAATGAAATCTATAAAGAAAGCCATTCTTAAAGCTTAGGCTTGTCTAGGTGTCATTTTCTAAAAGCATCATCAAATCCCATTATTGGTAGTAGATGATATGACAGTCATAAGAATTTCACCACAAACACGATACAAAATTGTGTTCCTCGGCGTCTGAAAACTAAAACGCGAGTGGAAAGCATCTATTAACATTTAATTAATGAAATTATATCGCTCTTGAACCAACTTTTCGCCGTTTTATAATTTCTTCAGGCACCATCAGTTAAAAAATAAATATCATGAATAATATTAAATCAATAAATATTATTAATAAATAATACTAAATGTTTCTATTATATCGCCGGTTTATAGCAAAACGGCACTAAGTACGATGGAGTATGATGGAGCTTAATTTTCAGGAACGGATTTGTGAATTTCGTCATTATTAAAAAAACAAAAAAAAAATTTGGATTAGATTATTTTTCCTGGAAACCGATCAGAGAAATTATTAGAGTGCAACTTCTTTGATGAACTGAACCAATCTAAACATGCAGGTGAGCCATAATTAAAATAAGCGAATAAAGTTTAATATACAATATATCTATTGTTGTTTATTACTCCTATACAATAAAATTATAAGGTATTGTTACGTTAACAAATGATCATGCTCTTCTCTTGATGTATTTGTATATTATTTAAATGTTTTTACATATTAGTAAGTATTTATATACCTAGGCATTTTATATGTACATATTCAGCTTTCTTCTTTGTTAAAACAAACAGACTTTATTGATAAGGTAAATTTAATTTATTTTTTTCTTTACTTTTTGAATAAGTGTATATTTATGCTGTTGTACCATTTTATATAGTTTTATTTGATTTGTGTTTAGTATTTTCAGTTAATGTTTTCTTACTTTTTTAAATATTATTTTTATTTTTTTATTGTTTCAAACCTTGAGAAGGAGTTTATCTTTTTTTTTTATACGATTTTATTATGAAGGTACTTTATTCCTGAATAAAGTTATTTTCAATCTATCTATCTATACTGTAACTTTGATAAAACTGATCCGATTTAGACAATTTATTTTTTTGGTCACAAATTTAGCCTTTTAAAATATTATATCTAATTTTATCTAAGAATGTATACTTGGGAAGTTAGGCGGCAAAACATTTTTCTCAGAAATTCACTACATGTTGGAAATTGAAGTAGCACTCAAATTAGAGTGCCCAATTTGTTTGACAGGCGTCAGTAGTCAAAACCTACTATACACAAAAAAAAAAAAAAAAAAAAAAAGCGAAAAATTCGTTCCTCTTGTTTTGATATAATCTTGGTACAGACTGTCAGACCAAAGGCTAAAAATGTATTTTTTGGAACCAGAGATCTCTGGAACATAAATATTCTTTAAAAAACCGCTCATGATAAATTTTACTTTCTTCTTCCAGTAGCGGTCGGGAAGTAAAAATGGATTAAATAATTATTAACATAATGACAAAGGAAATTTACACAAATGAAGAGCTAACGTAAAAAATTATTTTAAGAAATGCTTTAAATAAATAGAATCCATTTTATCCACAGCATCGGACAGAAAAATAAATAACATAAATAACTCAAGTAAATAGGAAAAAGTATTCGGTAAATAGAAGCTACACGTGTAATTATTGTATGATTTTATCATTATATGAAAATGTTTACTCTATCAATATAAATGATAAGTGCATGAGTCTCTTCTTCATTTTTGTATTCAGTTTTCCTGGTGAGGTATATCCGTTAGAAGTTTAGGTAGGTTTCCTGTATTACAGAGAAATAATATAGAAAAATATTTTATCGATATATTTATTGAATATATTTATTATTTGGAGACTAGATTAGTCTGTGCAAAAAATCAGTAAAGTAAAGACCGCCCTAAAAGATCGAATTTGAGATTTTTATGGAAGCGGAATAAATGTCTCAATCATATTGTGAAGTATTTACCATGAATATTGTTTTTCTTTATTATTGATTGAGTAATTTAGTTCGCTTTTTTAGCTGTTTGCAATTGCATTTACTTTGCTTAAAATTATCTGGCACTTGATGTCCAGTCTTCATTTATTCTTCATGTTCATTGAATAAAATATTAAATAAATATGAATTATTGTTAACTTACCGCTATATTTCTAAAATAAATATCAAATGTTAGAAGTAAAAAAAAATTCATAAATATCCTGACTTTCTTTTTCTTTTTACTGATATTCGTGTCTGATGTATATTGAGTTACATCCAGACGCATCCCCTGTAACACTGTCAGGATTACAGAACCAAAGGAACACTTTTTTTAGAGCGGCAAATTTCAAGGAAAATTTTATTTTTAAGCTAAATAATTTGTTCAATTTTGTTTTATTGATTTGACCTTAATTCAGGTGATTAAGGCTGTTTATAATAAAGTTCATTTAATAATATTTATTTAGAAATATATCTTCCATATCACCTACAATACTGTTGTAGAACTGTTGATTCTTATATTATTTTTTAAGATGTTTTGAAAACAGAGGGAATACAAAATGTAGCTTGCACACCATCTTAAGAACTCTGGTTCGGTTCTTATTCTGATCCTTGTTGCCACAAATACGCGATAATGTTATTTATGGAACCTGAGGACTTAAAAAAAAAGTGACATAGAAAAATATACTTTATTTTTGTACTAACCTATATCACAACAATAAAAATAAAAATTACACCAAATGATTTATAATATTTCATATTTAATATATATAAAAATTCAGTACTTCTATGTAATCTTACAGAAAAGTATAAAAACCAACTAGGTACTAATGATTTATTGGTATAATTTCATATGTTATTTTCCTATTTAGCAGACTATTTATATCAGTTTCAGATTACAAAATATCACTTGTTACATACGACATTTTGCGCTAATATTAGTGATATGTTACTTAAAAAGCTAAAACAATTATTCTGATACTTTCATTGTTTGATTTACTTCCTCAGCCTCCATTTAAGCACTAGATAAAATGTTAACCTGAAAAAAATTAAATTATTAAAATTAATACGAATTTTGTATTGAATTAGATGGCACAGAAATAAAGTTGGTAAGTTTAAAAAAAAAAAAAAAATGTGATTATCTCTAAGACAAATATATATATATATATATATATATATATATATATATATAATAATTAATTTTAAATTGTATTGTATAATTATTCATGCTAAATTTGTGTTATTGTAGAGGTCAGAATATGAGATGAGAGACATTTAGAATGATTTTTTCCTTTCTCCCATTGAATCTTTCCTTTTCTTTCTTTGAATAATTACGTAATATTTTCTTAAAAACAAAAATTAGTGAATTAGATCTAGATGAGCTATTATTAGTTATTATGCTTAAGCCCTATAGTTTCTAAAAACCATAAAACTCTACACCCTTCACGGTTGTACTCTTAGAGGTTTTTTTTTTACTATCGCTGAATGCTATTACTAAACTAAGGGGGCTATATTACCATATTAAAATAATTAATGACCAAAGTTATGTGAAACTTGAACCCAAGTGTTATTATTTACTCCTGAATGGATGAATCCTTCGATTTAAAAAAATATATATATATATGATTGTATACAATTTTATGATTGTATTATAAGTTTAACGCCTAATTTGGTAGTATATCTTACAGAGCGAATGATTTTCTCCGATCTTTAATTAAGAATTTTTAGAACGCCTATTTACCATATTGAAAATTTTGAAATTATATATTGCATATTAATTATTCATAGATACATATTGTTCACCCGATTGGTGTATATGATATTTTGTGAATATTTAAAAACATATTTATCTAAGTCATTAAAAAGGAATACAAGTTAATTTATTAATCTTACAAATAATTGGTGCTCACATCCTAAACGATTTCCTAAAATGGAGATATATTGTTGGAAAAGGTTGTGAATTCCTCAAGAGTTTATTATCAAGAATTCATTGTTTTACATAAAATGAACAAATTTGTAACTGTTATTACCTGAAGAGGCAGAGGTTTATAAGAAGATGTAAAGTGATGAGCGGTATGTTGAACCTTTCGAGGTTCAAGTAATATAAAATTTCCTTGGGATCCTTGTAGAGGCAGTGATCTATGTTGTCCGGGCAGCTCAATTTATTCCTGTCGAGGCCGTAGAGTACCAGGATGTTGGCCACTATTCCTGTTCTCACGTAGGACATGTGAATGAGGATGTCCATCAGCGGATGAATGGTCTTCATAAAATCGTATCCGTAATTTGCCAGCCCGACGAAAGGCGCAAAAGTGAAAGGGCCGATGGCACAACTGTTCTGCAAAAGAAAGTTATGGTGATTATCTTCATTGATACAGGGCCAGATATCTTCGCCGCAACATAAAAATAACTGATAATGCTTACAGTCGGCGAGAACAAAGAACCAATGGTGTGGCCCAAACCATCGGCGACGAACCCCACCATCAGGCCGGTGAAGCAGAATAACAGAAACCTATCCACTTCCCAAGGTAAGCCGACCAGATTGTAGACTATGATGCTGTCTAGCAAATTCAATGCCAGCTGAAATTAGAGGAATGGTTCATTATTAAATCTATTCGTAAGTTTCAATTCGTCAATTGTTAACATATTTTATTTTTTAATTAAATTAATGAAAAACAGCAACGCTTGAGAATCCATTTATTCCAAGGACTGTTTCTGTATTCAACATAAAATTTTACTAAATTTTCTTGTTATATAAATAATCATATTTTCATTAAAATATGTGTGAAAAAAGTAAACACTATTTCATTATTTATTAAAATATTAATTATTTATAGTAGGTATATTCTTGGTAAAAAAACCACTACAGATGAAGTTGTTATAATTTATTAAAACAAATACTTTATATTACTAAATGTTCCAATTTCTACGCCATATTCGTGTTCCTTAGCCTTGAAAACACGAGGGTACTAAACATCAAGCCAATCCAATATCATTTACAAATTCTATGCCCATCTCCACGAAGACCGTCTTTCATCCTAATCTGCCTCTTTATGAAGGAGCACCAGAGAAAGAGGAAACAACATAAGGAATGGTTCATTATTAAATCTATTCGTAAGTTTCAATTCGTCAATTGTTTAACATATTTTATTTTTTAATTAAATTAATGAAAAACAGCATCGCCTGAGAATCCATTTATTCCAAGGACTGTTTCTTTATTCAACATAAAATTTTACTAAATTTTCTTGTTACATAAATAATCATATTTTCATTAAAATATGTGTGAAAAATATTGTTTAGCTTAGTAAACACTATTTCATTATTTATTTCAATATTAATTATTTATAATAGGTATATTCTTGGTAAAAAAATCCACTATAGATGAAGTGGTTATAATTTATTAAAACAAATACTTTATATTACTAAATGTTCCAATCTCCTTGGCCTTGAAAACAAGAGGGTACTAAACATCAAGCCAATCCAATATCATCCACAAATTCTATGCCCATCTCCACGAAGAGCCGTCTTTCATCCTACTCTGCAGCGTCCTTATGAAGCAGTACCAGTGAAAGAGGAAACACCATAACATAGAAGTGAAATTTCAGCGTGATCCCTAAGTGATCAATTCATCGCTTCCAAGATCCTAATACATTTGGAAACTGTTTTGCAAACAGTACCATGTTAACGTAGATGATTCACAGTATTTCTTAAATCGTTATTATTCCTATGCAGATATAAATATTAATGTTTATATGTTTTCTCCATAGGAATAATAGAGGTTAGAGAAATATTGTGAATTAGCTATGTTTTTTCCTTAGACTATAGTTTTATACTTTAAGTTAGTCTTATGAAACATTTTTTGGAGCTATATTCGTATACGATTATAGTTTTGACAATTTAGTTAAATAACTGTTCTTATGTCTCCCTATACTGGCTTTTATCTGTAATCAAATAGTGGATAAAGCATTACTTATTGAAGAAATCCTGATGTTTGGTTCGAAGTGAAAAAGCATTAAAACGTTTAATTACTATTCAGTCGTTATAGCCATAATTAAAGTATAAATAAGTATGATAATAGTTATAGATGACATAAAATATATTACCATTACTGGTGCTTTGGCAGCTGTATATGCCAAATAATATGGGAAAAGTCCGTACCATTTGTTGAAATGCTCCTTCTTCAGGAGTTTAACCTCGAAGGGATCTGTAATATTACGGTATTTGTATTAATGTTAACATTTGCTTTAAAAAATGATGGTAATTATTAGTAGTAATAAAAAAAAACAAATAATTACTAATGGTATTAAAGAAACATATTGGTTGAAGTGTGTTGTAGAGCATGAAGTGTAAATTAAAATAAAATGTATTTCAGAATTCAATCTGAATAGACTTTTTTTTTGTATGTTATTATTTATGAAATTTACAACTATGCATTCAGCAAATGTATTACAGAGAAATACATGACATGACAAGGCTTGTAGAGAATATACCCAGTGCTACCACTATAATAAAGTTTCTAAATTAGGAGATCACGAGGCCATGTTCGTTTCAGACGTCTAGGAGGGTTAGCAGGAATCGAGGAGGAAGCAAGATTAGAAACGAGAGGATTAGGATGATTCTGAAGTTTATTATGGAAGAATAGGTATGGATTGGGCCAAATCGGAAATATATGGAACATTCAGGTCATTGTGGATTATTTTATTTGTTACAAAGTAAGGAGCATTAAGGATTTTACGAAGGATTTTGGATTGTAGTGATTGGATACGAGAGGAATTCGATGGTTTAGTGGAGGCCCAAAGCTCAACTCCGTAAGTCCAAATAGGTCTTATTACGGTCATGTATATGAGCCTTTTACAATTAATTGAAAGGTTAGTGCGTTTGTCTAGTAAGTGCTGAAGTAATCGGAAACGTCGAGTGGTCAGTCTGGTGTGAGGATTCCAAGTTAGACGTTTGTCCAGGTAGAGTTGAATAGACTCAAACTTATAAAGAAAGATAGCCCCGCCGATATAAATACTGAGGAAAGGTCCTAGACTAAGAAGGAGGCTGCGGGCTTTCGGTGCTCTGTCTGTTAATGTACGATAAAAATAAGCTTAATGGACGATCAGGGTAGGTACAACAGTCGCAACGAGGACCTGGAACAGAGGTACAGAGAGTCTAGAGTAGAAGCAGGCAGTTGGAGACAGCCAGAGGCACTAGCGGATCCAGCTTTTAATTTTTTTTGGGGGGGGGGGATGCTTCAGAAAGTTGTTGTACACATGAATACAACGATAATTACTTTGAAAAAAAAATAGTAACTACCAATATGAAATGGTGTTTAAATGATTCTTGAAGTCCTATTAAATGTAATTACATCAACAATAATACTTTAAGAGACAATTTTTTAATATTTTTTTTCCATAAAACATGGTTACATTTTACCATTTTAGAAGGGGAGGAGGACGATTCAGCCCGAAAGCCACCCCGTAGATCTTCCTGTGGCCAGAGGTACAAGTCAGTACTGGAGGAGAGGGCCTGAGGAGAAGGGGCTCATATATCAAACTGGATAGTCCCTTGAAGATGAGAGTCCATAGCAGAGAGAAGCTTTTAGAGAGAGGCTAAAGATAATTCTGGAAAGAAGGTGGACACGATCTATAAGACATCAGTGAAACAGACCATTCCCCCAGCTGGCAGATACACCAAAGGCTAATTCATAATAGCCCTGGAGCCGGGGCCCAAAAATCGACCTGATCGCAGACGAAGGTTTGATTGTAAATTACGAAAGTGTATGTTATTCTGAGTAAAAAACTCTTGTCTACCGTTCCAGAGCCGCTGCTTTCAAAAATGGCGACTGATTTAAAGAATATTGCGCCAATAATTTGAGGATCGAAACGGCAAATCCATTGCGAAAAATGTGAGAAAAGTTTTTATTTTTTTAACGTTTATATATGGGTTTAGACATGTAAAAAACAAAATCGCTAAAGTGGGACACCAAGAGAAAACTTTTTATAGTCAAAAAAGTCAGATTTCTTCGATATACTCCTAAACCATGCATCAAAGCGAAAAATGTATTCTTTAATAAATTAAAGAACGGTAAATTTTGCGTCAAACGAGTACATTAACTTTATAATTTGGTTACGCGGTAAGGTATAAAACCATGGTCAACCAACGTTGAGTTTTACCGAATTTGTCAAAAACTGACACAAATTACTATAAATGGCCCTGTAACTTGGAAATGAGTTCCCTAAGAGAAAAAACCCATAGAATCAAAGTTGTAGAGCATCAAATTCTGCGTATACTGAGTACTGACGTTTTTATCATTAGCAATTATATATGTCGAATCGGGATTCGTTATTCCTTTATAAAATTCGGTATCTTTCAGCACATCGTTTGCCAAAATCTTTTGCTGTTTGCTGAGAGCTGGAAAAGAGGCTTATACTGCATGTAACAGACTTTAAACAAAACTAACTCAGTACAAGAGACACCCATAATGTTGGAGTATTGAAAATCATGTTTACCTTCATTACTAAATTCTAACCATCGGGAGATTACCGATTTTGTTCGCAGAAAGTGACCTAAATTAAATTAGTTGATATTGAGTATACGTGAAATTTGATGCTCTACAACTTTGATTCTATGGGCTTTTCCTCTTAGGGAACTCATTTCCAAGTTATAGGTCCATTTATAGTAATTTGTCTCAGTTTTGGCAAATTTGGTAAAACCCAGCGTTGGTTGACCGTGGTTTTATACCTTACCGCGTAACCAAATTTTAAAGTTTATGTACTCGTTTGACGCAAAATTTACCGTTCTTTAATTTATTAAAGAATACATTTTTCGCTTTGATGCATGGTTTAGGAGTTACAGGTGAAAAATCCAAAAAATATCGAAGAAATCTGACTTTTTTGACTATAAAAAGTTTTCTCTTGGTGTCCCACTTTAGCGATTTTGTTTTTTACATGTCTAAACCCATATATAAAAGTTAAAAAAATAAAAACTTTTCTCACATTTTTCGCAATGGATTTGCCGTTTCGATCCTCAAATTATTGGCCTAATATTCTTTAAATCAGCCGCCATTTTTGAAAGCAGCGGCTCCGGAACGGCAGACAAGGTTTTTTTTTACTCAGAATAACATACACTTTCGTAATTTACAATCAAACCTTCGTCTGCGATCAGGTCGAGTTTTGGGCCCTGGCTCCAGGGCTATAACATTCGTTTAGATTAATGTTATGACCTATAAAGTTGTGTTTGACAATCAGCAACTTAAATCAGTCCTACTCACATTAGCGTTGTTCAATAATGATTTTCCATATGTATTTTTGTTGTTTAAAATTATATATAAATTACTTTTTTGATGAAGTATTAATTCTTTAAATTATATGCATTCCACCATTTAGATATAGTTACAAATAGTTAATTATAAACTTGCCACCTTCTGATAATATATCGAATGGAAATCAAACTTCAATATAGTATCAGAGAACAGCAGAAAGGTTTGTGATATCTAGCCTTTAAATACACAATTGATATATTTTTAAATAGATCGGTTCCTTTCTGGAACCGATAGAAATACAAATATAAGTATCAAATACATTGAATATATCGGAAACAATGTTATACAATATATTTTTTGGAAAAGAAGTTGTTTTGTCTAGTTGCCTAACTTAATCTCTTGATTAACTTTCTGTACAACGGTACAAGAAAGAGAAGACGTGTTCGTTGCCGCCGGCCTTGCTCCCTCGTGGAGTGTAGCGTCAGTTACGAAGAACTTGTTTTAACTTATTAAGTCACATATTTTATTCGTGATTTAACATGGTATTGCTTGCGGATTTTCGCTTCGCATAGAAATCAATTATGACCTATTCAGTTTAACAACTATTAATTGTAATTGTGTTGGTTAAAGTTTAGCGAATAAATGAATTTTTAGACTTAAGATGTCCGCTTTTTACGATCATTATTGTTGTAGTGTTTGTATGATTTACCAAATTTCATGTTTGTTAAACAGTTTTCAAAATATTACCATCTAATCAAAGAAACATTCGTGAGAGAGATTGGAAGTGCTTGCGGGTTGTAGTTTATTTATTTTTTTTTTGTAGGGGGAGAGGGGAGTATTGTTGCGAATTCCGGAAGCACTGTTGAAAACACACATAGAAATTTCATTATTATTTATGGACTCTGTGCACTGGGTCATACAATTCCTTACAGGACAAGGAGGTTACCGAGCAAAGTTCACTCAACTTGGTAAGAACATAGATCCCCTATGCCCAAGTTGTGGAACACTGTAGACCGCCAATGTTGTTTGTCTGTACAGGCTGTTAGGTACTGTGGGCCGAGTTGCTGAAGGAGACAAGGCTCTAGGTACTATCGGAGCGCGATCTCCCTCAGCTAATGACCAAAGAAATCCGTACTTTAATTTAAGGCCTTTATGTAAGAAGTGTGAAAAGTAATTGGCCCAGTCTACTTCTACTTGGATAGAAGAGAAGAAGCTCTGCCAGAGAGGATAGAAGAGGACGGTGAAGTATTTTAGCTAAAACAAGAAGAAAAAGCTAGGAGCGCAGCCAAGAAAAACAAAAAAAGAAAATAAATATAATGGCTTCGATTGCAATATTGGACAGTTATGCTTGTGTAGCTATTTTGATCATTAGAAAAAGAAAGATGTTCCATTTTCGTGGCAGTTAGACTAAGCTTAAAAATGATCATATAAATTTAAATTGTGGTTGCTAACTGATTGAAACGTGAATTCTCATGTGTGTATACTGAGGATGAGTCATACTTACAATAAAGCATTGGTACCATCTGCATCGTGTAGGCCTGGAAGATGGGGATGGCCATACAGACCTTCAGGTGGGCGATGAACGATGTCCCATCGTCGGCCTTCTTGAAGAACATGATGCCGAGGGCCAAGGTGCAGCACAGGTGGTGGCAGATTTGCAATTTAAGGCCCGTCTGCAGCAAGAAAACAAATTTATACTATTTACATCTTTTAGTATATAATAAAAATAAAAATTTTGGTTAAAAAAATGAATAAATTTCTGTAAAAAAATTATCTATCAAGTGTAATTCTTATGTCTTCAAATAACTAATTCGAATTTCATTATTATGCATAACATAAAAATATACTTTTAAGTTGTTATTTACTATTTTACACCAAAAGAGAAACTAGTCAAATCACTCCAATTTACATCGTAGGACTCACGGTCGTTCTTTAATTATAAATGTTTATTAAGAGGAATTAAGTGCCTCATTAAATTTAAAGTAGCATTTACTATGCTTTTAGCATTAATTATGTGCTATGAGTATTATGTTTCACAATTAATGGATAAGAACATGAGCGGGTATATCTAAAACCGCTTGTTTGATTTGGCTCAAATTTGGAGGAAAGTTAGGGATTAGTTAACAGATAATTAAGTAAGTATCAATTTTATCTAATTTTATCCACTACTCTAAATAAAATACTTCGCTTTGAAATGTGTTATTTGAAACACATTCAACGTGTTATATTCAAGATACAGTCAATACTTTATTTGAATTTTTGAAGTTGATACAATATCACACAAGAATATAAATCATAGTAAAACGCCAACGACCCTTGAGGGTAGAGGTGCGAAAAAGAACGAAAGAGTGAAAGAGAGTTTCAAAACGGCTTGTTTAATTTGACCAGAACTTGGAGGATATTTGGAGAAAATTTCAAAAATTGTCAAGTACGAATTTCATTTAATAATTAAAATTAATATAAATAACTGTTAACAATATAATGGCTGTGAAATGTGGAAGGCATCGAACACATGAATAGGAGTTAGGTTAATAAAATATTTTTATGAGATTATAACATTTTTGGTTTTATTCAAAACGTTAATTTATACTGTATAGTTTGGTCGTTCCCAAACGTTACTGGCATGACACTTACTGCCTTCACTTAGATTTATTTCTTTATTCACTATGCATCAAATACGCAATTTGCAAAAGTGGGATTCTTCCACTTTTTAGTATTCACTGATGAAAAAATTGGTGGATATAAAACCGGCGAATGTTAATGGATTACTGTGTTTACGAAAATAGCTTCTTCTGGAGATTTTATTCTCATACGAAAAGTTATAAATTTTGAAATATAGATATATATTGTTTATCCAAAGAAATCGGTGAGGAAGCTATTTCGCGTCAGACATTTTTTTGTTTAATGCCAGTGGATTAACATCGAAACTTATCAATAGTCTTATGAACCTTATTATTATGAACCTTATAACAGATTTTCTTCCAGATTTTTATTATCATCATGCCACTCTTAAAATGCACTCTTTGCAGTGCAAGATTTTTTTAGATATGTTTCGTCATTATTCCAATTCGATATCGACTTCAAACCTTAGGGGTATTAAAAAACAACAATCTTAAAACAAAATTATCGATAAAAAAGGCTTTTTCCAATATTCTTTGTTAAATAAGATTAGTGATACAGCTACCAATTGAAGACATAGATGAATTTTACCATCTTCTTTTTTTAATGAAGTCTCTAAATAGACGTAGAAACCTACCTTATTTCTTCTTTCTTTAAGAAATATCCTGAAGAATATTGTAGAGAACTGTATCCAAAAGGATTCGCATGATTTGTGATCCAAAATGGAATCTTCCACGTTTGATTCCCTCCTCTTGGAATTTGTTTCCGAATTTGCACCTTTGCCTAAGATAAATTCATTTAGTAGTAAAAAAATAGAAAGATAAATAAATTGATGTCAGCATAGAGTAATTATAGCGATGAGTAATGAATATAAAGCTTTCTTTTAAATATTTATATATAGGGTTTTAGTGTGAATTTAAATTAATCGAGATTGAAATAACCTCCTTATTTGGAGAATTTAGCCTACATATCATATTCTTAACTTAAAAATATGAAACTTAGGATGAATAATGTAATAAAAAAAATTACCTTTATCATCTTCCGAACCTATAAACCAACTTGTTTCACCATTTTTTGCAGCCTCACAGAGGATGTTCACATTATTTTTGTCTTCTGTCAATTCGATGACTGTTTCGGGCATAGAAATAGATAGTATAGTAACCATAATTGTCTTACGTTAATTTACTAATAGATAATTGTCATACCGTAATCCGCCGGGTTGTGATGGATGGGACAGATGAATCCGTTGACCTCTAGGTACTTCAGCAGGTGCTTCCCGGATCCTCCTTGGTAGACACACTTGCCCATCGCCAAGAGGTAGACCCTGTCGAATAGATCAAAAACAGAAGCGGAAGGTTGGTGAATAGTCACTACTATCGTCCTCCCATCCTTCGAGAGTCTACTCAGCAAGCGGAGCAGAAGACCTGCGGATACGGTGTCCAGCCCACTGCGAAGATAATAACATGCTAAGGTGACCTTTAATGGTAAGGTAGTTATTAAAGTTTTCTTGTGGTGATTAATGTACCTGGTCGGTTCGTCGAGGAAAAGAACAGGTGGATTATTTATTAGTTCTAATGCTATCGAGAGCCGCTTCTGCTCACCGCCGGAAAGTCTCTGAATCATGGTGTTGACGCAATCGTCCAGTCCAAGGGATGAGATGAGATTCTCCACCTGTAATAAAAAATAAATAAAAATCTATTATATATTTCTATTCAATAAAATACGTGATTTATATGTTATTTTTCTTTGACGTAGCATCACAGACCTTGGAGATATCACTTTAGTTAATTTAGACATTCTTTATTCATAAGGTAATATATAATCTGGAGGGGAAGCCAATCCTATTATTACTGTGAAGCAATCTACGATTTCTATCCTTCAAAAAAAGTTTAATCACAACTCATTAACCTTTACCGTGGGGTATTCTTCTGATGGCCTTGAAATCCATATACGTATTACATCTGTGGATTAAGGCTCGAAATAGTTTGAGCATGAGCAAAAAGGAACTGTGATGTGATATTAATTGATAGCTCGATCGAGATATGGTGTAATGCAGGACTCGGGCTTATCATCAAATCGACTATTTAGGTTTATCAGACACTTGAAATAGGTTAAAAGGGGGTTCCCGCCGGGTATAAGAAGAGACAGAGAGAAGAGGACATCAGTAACTTGAAGAAGAAGAACAAGAAAAATTTTTCTTTTATCAAAATTACGTAATATAAATTATAAAAACAATATTTTTGGATTTATAACCGAAAATTAGACGTGCTACATGGTCTGTTGACCGTCAGAGGAGTCTGTGTTTTATAACAAAATTATATTTCAATCCATTCATATACAACTAATTAATAAGAAAATAGGAACAATTATTTTTACAATGTAAAAGTTATATAAATATTTTAATTACAAAAGGAATGGTACCGAAATTCTCCAATTTATTAATAGTTAAATTCTCTGGTGAGCATTATTCTATAGGAGAAAGCAGACTTGTAGTAATTTACCAATGCTATCCAATCGTTTCCATTTATTAAATCTATAACTTGATCCCGAGATAAATTTCTAGATTTTAACCATTTAATTCTAAATTCAAACAGGAAGTGATAGAGATCTTCTGTTTCGTTTGTATTACACATCCTACTATTACTATTTGTTTGCTTGAAGTGGTTATAATTTAAGTTCAAAACATCAGCTCTAATTTAAATTACCCATCTGATCACCTTCAATGAGCTTTTGTCGTCAATATAATTTACTGAAGTTAAATGAGGATAAAAAGTGAAAGTTTTAGGATTCTGAACTTTAATTACATATTGATTATATATGTCTTTCTGAATTTGAGTTCTTAGTAAATATAAATTAGCTCTTCATAGTTTAACATCATCACAGTTAGATCGATTTAAGTTGAAATTTAATCCATGCAGTTCTATTAGATTAAGTAAGTCCCTAAACCATGCGATTTCTTTTTTAATTATCTGTAGTTCTAATATTTTTGGATATCTATGTGGTGGAAGATTCAAAATTTTTATAATGTAATCAAAATGGAGTTTAATTGTGAAGATAAATAACAGATCTATTTTAGTCTCAAAGTGAATAAAATGTGTAACCTGAATGCAAGAATTCAATTAATATAATTGTAAAATAATTTACAAAAAAACATTCAATATAGAATTGTATAGAAATGTGAGTCAAAGGCTTAAACGGAACATTTTTTACATTTCCACTCCAGCTAGAATATTTTGTTAACCTTATGTATATCTCACACCATTTCTATCCAAGTTTAGGGCAAACAATGACTTTAACTCTATTGATAGTAAGAAGGTCAGTCCTTCGAGCCACGTGTAATCTAATTGACGCTAAAATTCATTCAGTTATGGATTAGTTGTGGCCTTGGTCTTGTTCTGGTATTACATTAAGTATTTAAATTATTCACTAATTACTAATTCCAAAAATATCCATTACTACTTACAACGATGGCTCTTTGCTTGGGCGTGTAGTTTGCAGGTAGCTTTAGCCGACTGGCGAACTCCATTAGTTCTGCCGGGGTCAGCAGAGGGTCAGAGATGTCTTCTTGGGCGATGTAGCAGAAGGTTCGTCCGGACCCTCCTACAATCTTCCCACGGACACCACTGCGTCTGCACAACTGATCTGCTTTAAAAAAATTGGAAGCACCTGTATGTCAGGTAATTATAAAAGTCAATCTCTATCAATAATTTTGACAATTGGTCAATTGGAAAATGCATATTCTTCAATAATTGATTTACTACTACCCAGAGAATTGTGCAAACAGGCCCCGATTCCATACTATGGCAGACCCGATGCCTTACTATGTTTGTATACTACACCATGCTAATACTCGCACTATGTTGGTTTTTTAAAAAGATGTAAACTGTTAGTATTTTTTCTTGTTTAGTAAATGATAATTGAGGTTTCAAATGACTGTGTTGTTAGAAATGAGTTAAAGAGTAGTTAAATAATATAAGAATGTTTACTATTCTATTTAAGAATTTGGTTTCAATTCTAATATCATACATTTCTTTTTGATTCTGTCCGTGCCTCTGTTAACGATAAAGGATCAAGGATGGTATTTTTGTTATGACTCATAGCTGTAGGGTATGATATAAATTTAAAAAAAAATCGGACTATTTACATTAAAAAAAAAATTCTAATTTCCCTCAAAATTGTTTAATTTTTTTTTTCGCAGACTCACCACTCAAAAGCTATCTTCCAGAGTAATAGTCCAGTTTGACATTTTGTAAATCATGGCTTTTTTTTCTTAAATGCTAAGCGTTGAAATATATTTATATTTTACTTAAGAGCTATACATAAGATGGTACATAACAGTTTTTTTTTAATTCATAGTATCAAATTTCACGATTATTTCCAATTGAAACAATAAGGTAATCGAATACAAATTTTAACGTGTTATATATGACTCCACTTGTTCCCAAATTGGTAAAACCTCCAATAATATTTTATAATGTGTTCCATATTTCAATTTTTTTTACCGAACCATTCCATTACAAAGAAACTGATCTTTGTTATAATATAGTAATAAATTATTTATAATTTTGAACTATCAGGCTCCCTAACTGCAAATTTATTAAAGGTTTTCTTTAAAATAGCAGTAGGTGATCATGTAAAGTTGATATTATCTTCTCACTGTTGACTGACTTTTTCTTTTCTTCTAATCAAAGCTGACTTGTCTTTCGGAAAATCTTTGATGAAACATTAGATACAAATTATGTAATCAAAAGATTGTGCAAGCTCTACAATAGTTAATAATGACTTATTGTGCTTCAATGAAGCGGTGTGGCTTCATAGCGATCTTTTTCAATTGTCTTTACTCGTGTTATCCTTGGCATTACTTATTGGGCTATTACGTCTTTGAACGAACCTTCTGTTCCGTTGAGCAATATGGAATTGTAACCTGTATCATTATAGGACTACTTTTTGGAACGCTCATCTGAGCAATAGAGTTCTAATTGTAAGGATTCGTTATATTTCACTTAATTTTGATAAATTTCCTTTATCATATTAATTAGAGAGATGGATTTTCGGTATAAAAGGATACTTTAAATATCTTTTATTATGATATATGTTGTTATGAATATAGAATATTTTCTAACAGCAGTTACTTACCTGTACCCAGATACGGCATTGAGTAGAGTTGTCTTGCCTGCTCCCGAAGGCCCCATAATGGCAGTGAGCTCTCCGGGCACGAATCGCCCGGTCACGTTGTCCAAGAGTCGTTTTTTTCCCCCTGTAAAAATTGGAGATGAAGCAATGTAAAATTATAATAATAACACCTCAGTAATAGCTAAAGGAATCGGGTTCACATGTTTTATTTCTATAAATGGCCGGCATTAACAAAGTGATTTTATGGAGATTAAAAAAAAAAAAAAATTATTATTAGAGAAATAATAAACGTATGGTGGGAGATGAGAAAAAGATCAGTGAGTGTGGTCTTTGTCTGGGTTCCATCCCATAGTGGCACAATAGGCAATGAAAAAGCAGACCAAGCTTACATCACCCTTGAAGATTGGATACACGAGATAAAAAAAAAATCTATTAAAAAATTGGGAAGACCAATGGAAAATACAACGAGCCAAATTAACAGATATAAAAACCAAGTGCAACACATGGGCCACAAGCTCCAGAAATCGAGAAGAGAAGAAATAATATTGTGCCGAATGTGAATCGGACAGTCTTTTCATACACCGATACCTACTTAGAGGTCTCGAAGCGCCAACCTACTAAAAGTTTGACAACACACCTCAGCCAGTTAAACATTTATTACTACTCACTACTAGACTGAGTTAGAGTGGATCTTCCCCTACATTCGAAGACAATATTTCCTAGGTACGTTCCTCTATCGAATCATCAACAATCATCGTCCATCTTACGCATAAAACTTTCTTCAATTCAAATCCTCAGTCCACTCCTATTCCACAAGATCTCAACCTTCCGACCTTTACATTCCTTCTCACAGATCTGCCTCGTTTTCAAAACTCCTTTATTGCTCGCTGTGTTAATTTCTGGAATTCCCTTCCTATCAAAATTTGGCATTCTTCCTCCCTATCTACATTTAAAACCCTCCTTTTCCAATTCCCGTTCCCAAAACAGTCAGATATTCGCTAACCTTTTATGTAAAATTACATATCATTCATACTGATGTATATAGCTCATCACTTAAATACTTACTCTCAGATTCGACTTTCTTTTTTTTTTAAACAGAAACACAGAGTTTCTGCTAAAAAGAATGTAATGTATTCTTTATTTTTTCTAAAAGCGGGTGTTTATATTTTACCATTGTACATGATTTTAAGTGTCTTGGCATGGTTTCAAGAGTTTTTATATAGATTTTTTTTTAAATTTTCTATATAGTATGTATAACTAATATTTTCTTTACTTATTTCTCTTTATTTTTATTTTTTATGTTTGTTTTATTTGGCCGGATATAATATTTTAATTTTGTACTTTTTTGTTATGCTAAAGGGAATTCGTCCCAAAATATAATTATTTTCTATTCCATTCTAGAGTGTCCCCAATACTAAAAAAAAAGACACAAAAATTAAAGTGTCGAAGACATTGAAGGAGATTTTGGGAGAAAAGGAGGAAAATGTCATAATTCTCTTTCAATATTTAATGGGAACCATTTACTACAACTGAAAGAAATATTACTTGTCTAACCCTTCTTTGAATTAATTAAAGATATTTCAAATTTGAAGTTGTTCTGATACTTCCAACCACAGGCGTCGATCTCTATTAGGACGCACAGTGGGGCAGAACGCCTTAAAAACCTGACATAAATCTAAAAATTGGTTGTTCCTTTCTAGTGAATCGTTATAGATTTGTGAATGCAACTGGGGTTGGCAGATTATAAAACAATCAGGTAATCATAAGATATAATCAAGTCATCGAAAGAAAACACTATGGAGGAGAAGTTAGTATACCTTAAAAAAGAAAAAAAAATCTGAACGTAAATAACTAATATATATAATAAATTATGAGACTTTTATGATAAATCATCAACTTTTTATTCAAAATTTAAAAACGAATAAGGGAAATTAACCACTCAGAGGATAGATTCCTTCAAAAAAAAAAAAAAAAATCGATGAATATGAAATATTTTACACATTTGTCAGCTAATTAACTGGTTGCAGGAGCAGCTCATACGTCTTCCGAGTGTGCCGAAAGAACAAAGAGGAAGAAGGTTGTGAAGTTAGGTTCTATTATATGTATTGTTATAAAAGTTAATTAATATCATAGAAACATAATGATTATTTTGAAAGATAATATATTTTTAATCACACATGCTCTGGAAATATAATTTGATAATGTTATATTGGTGGCCTTGGTATTCTTTTCATTATACTCTATGAATATTATACATGTGGTATTATAATTTAAATAATGACTGGCACTTATGAAGATGGAGTTAGGAGTAAATTGATGAAATATGTAACTTCATCCAGTATACCGTGCTGACGATTATGTAAAAAGTGACTAAGGGAAAAGTAGAGCATATGTCATATAATCAATATAGTAGAGTATATGTCAAAAACAATATGGCCATATAATCTTATTTTGATATGTATTTATTGAAATATAGTCAGAAGTTACGTCCTTTATTCCTCATGGTTCAGGAATCTATGGGAAGGAGGGGGTTTTGGGCTGAAGCCTCCCCCCAAAATGGTAAAATTTAACCATGTTTAAGGTAAAAAATATTAAAAAATTATATCTTAAAGTATTATTAATTACATTTAACAGAACTTCAAGTATCATTTAAACACCGTTTCATATAGGTAGTTAGTATCTTTCTGTTTTTCCAAGGTAATTATCGTTATGTAAATGAAAAAAAAGCTTCCGGGCTGAAGCTCTCTCCCCCCCAAAAATTAAATCCTGGATCCGCTAGTGCTGGTGGAACATGGCCAAAACGTGGTGAGGTGAAAAGGGCTAACTTGTCCTTTAATCGGAGCGAATTTCCAAAGAAATTATATTTTTAATGTTTACTAAATAGCATGTATTCGTTTCTGATTTTTGGTCGAAGTGACCTTCATTCATTCAACAAAATGAGTTGGTGTTGAGGTTAATTAATTGAAAAACCAAGTTAACTGGTCTGACTAAAATTCTAAATTTAACCCTGCTTATTAACATAATAAAGCTGAACTTATTTATGATTTAGCTTCTTAAATTTTTAAATAAAGACATTTTTTCTAATATTAATCAACATTAATTTGGTATTGTAGTATAATAATAACACCGTATTCTTTGTTTGAATCAAATACCTGATGTTGCCTCTTATATTTGTTCTGTTTTATCTATTTGTAGATGTGATAATTTGCCCGCGGTTCAACATTCAAAAATAAAAATAAACAGGCACCACGAAAACATCGTAGATAATAAATTTAGGATAGTATATATTTTTTTTTAATTTTGTTCATAAATTCGATTCATGTCGGAAGCCCAAGGATTTAAAAAAATAAAGTGTATAGTTTATTTTGAAACGATTTATTCATAGCTTTTAAATTTAGATAAGCTATGACAAACAGATATTGGTATACAAAAATCCTCATTTAAATGCACGTCCCGTCACAGTTAATCATCACGTATATTATAATGGTGTCTGTTGGTATTGGATGATGGCAGTGGTTTATTTTTATTTATTCATTTTTTTTTTTCTTTAAATGACGATAATGATTCCAATCCATTTTTATGAAGGAAACATATTAATATATGAATCCGTTACATTCGATGATTATCCGGCCTAGTGAACTATTCACAGTTTAACCGGTTCACGTATTCTAATGCCCCGTTCGCAGTAATCACTATGATTGCTTAAACGCATAAGTGATTTTGTTGGCATTGTTGCGTCACGTGCAGCCTTGGTAGGTTGATACCTAGGGAAACATATCTTCTTCTCGAAGGACCTAGCGTCCCAAGGTTCCACAAGGTCTATCACCTACATTCCTATGCTTTTGTTTGTGTACGACATGTAGTCAAAGGCGTCGATATCATATCATAGCAAAAATCTAACATAGTATTTTTTTTTTTAAACCAATATTAATAAACCCAATTTAAACATACAACAAATCATTCCACAGCATTTGTTCAACAATTAATATAAAAATATCAAACAAGTATAATGTATGCCCATTCTAACCGACCGACTGAATTAACACGTTTTTTTTTTTTTTTTGCAAAATGCTCTGTGTTACAGCATGAAACTTTTGAGATATTGAAATTCTTTACATGTGTATATATATATATATATATATATATATATATATATATATATATATATATATATATATATATATATATTAATTTTATTCAATAATCATTATTTCTAGTTTGACATTATTTTCAAATTGAATTTGAATTATCTTTGTCTTAAAAATGCAAAGCATTTTATGTTTTTGAACTACAGTATATTTTAATCAAAAATCATTTAAATTGATTTCAGAATATATATCTAAATTACAAAATACTTTCGATATTTTGTATTAAAAATAAATAAAAGAATTTTGTATTTTAGTCGCCTAAATCTAAATAACCAAGTCTCGAAAAATGATTTGTATGTATGTAAAGAGTCAAGCTCAAAATCAGAAATTCTTACAAATACGAAATTACGTATTTAGCGTAGATATTTGGCTGGGATGTTACAGCAACTTTTAAAACATAAAAACACAGTCATACCTAAATACAATATATACAATCAGGCGGAAAATCTTAAGCTACATTTGTCCCTAGAGCTATAGAGGGAAAAGGATGACTCCAAGAGATCCCTGTACTACTCCGCGTCACTTGTGCTAAAGCCAGTGGAGATTGAGCGAAAGCATTTTAGCTATTGCCAGAACCCAAGATAAAAGATCTCTGGGCCACTGCCGCTTCAACCTTCCACGAGGATTTTAGGAATGAGTGGAACTAGAAAGTGGTTTGTGCAAGGGTATTTGGATGATTTGTAAGATTCTGATGTAATTTGGATATTTTTCTGGGATAAGGTCAAGGACAAATGGAATATTAAGGTCATGATGTAGGGTTTTATTGGATACATAGAACGGAAGATGGACTATTGTTCGGAAAACTTTGGACTGAAGGGATTGGATGATTTTGATTATAGAAAATTTAACTGTTCACTAAAGTTCAAGTCCGTAGGTCCAAATAGGTATCAGAATTGTCTTGTAGATAAATAATTTGTAGTCCATTGAAATTTGAGATTTTCTAGTCAGTAGTCTGTATAATTGGCCGTATCGTCTG